TGTGCTGTTTTGCTACACTCAAGGCAGACATGCAATAGTTTATAGGGTGTTTACATTTCGAAAAGACGTTAGTACATATTACAGAAACATCCCCACAAATACCTGCATCTAAAGTGAGGATATTCACTCCCGGGATTTAATTTAGTAATGCTTTAAAAACATCAAAAATAAACTTAAAATCACTTTTTTTATTCTAAATTAAATCTTATAAAAAAGGACTACTATAATAAGTTAAGGTATTCCCTCACCTGCCTTGACTCAAATGAGTTTAAATGTAATCTCATTCCTAATCCATAGAGGTTCAATATGATGTCAGTCCAGCCTTTGCAGCTAGGACAGCTTGAACTCTTCTACATATATATATATATTTTTTTTTTCTAAATAAAAAATTCTAAACTTACAAGATGCATTTAGATGAATATATTTAATAAAACGGGAGTGTCCTTTAAAAAAAAGTTCACCAAATGTCCATATTCAGCGCATCAAAGACTCTACAGGTGCATCAAGAAATAATCCAGCAGGAAGAAGAATATGTGGCCACCTACATTTTTTTACCAGTCTAGACTTCACAACATGAAATTCTCACTGGTTTGTAATATCCCTGCTTTCCAACATGCTCAGAGCTTAATATGCATCTGTTCACTGCATAGTGTGATGCTCCATGTTTCATTTTACTTTTTTTTTATGCCAAGTTCAAGTACCTGATAAACCAAAAATGTAAACAGAGGTAAATTAGCACATTCTCAGGTATGGTGACTGCAGCACTTAGATGTGAGGACCTAAAGGAGATCGCACAATTCTTGGATATTTCAAGCATCCAAGAGAGGGATGTGAAAGAAGATTTATTTTTAATGAATCATATCAAAACCACGTAGTTGTCTTGAAGTATCAGATTGGACAACTATTGGAGAAGTGGAAGGACAGACATGAAAAATAGACTACATTTAAGTCAAATTTGTTCATATTCTATTGATATTTAAGTTTTGCAGTCATGGATATTAATCCTGAAATGCTTATACACTGACATATTTAATGTTAGTAGAAACACTGAAAAACTGTGTAATTAAAAAATCTGCAGAAAAATAGTTACAGGAATTTATACTGTATCACAAGCTACAATACATGCTTCACTGTACAAAATATGAATGTTTTAATGTCAACAGAAATTTTTAAAAAGTGTAAAGGATAATTTCTTCGAGAGAAGTTGAATCCATCAACCAATGGAGGCCTCAATTTAGAGTCCAAAACAAAATTAAAGTGGAAAAACACACTACAGACTGATCCAATATTGATGTAATGTCCTTAAAACAGGTAAGACATTAAGCTCAGAATTGTCTGCAGCCTCCACATGCTCCTGATGAGGTGGCGGATGGTCTCCTTAGGGATCTCCTCCCAGACCTGGATTAAAGCATCTGCAACTCCTGGACAGTCTGTGGTGCAATGTGATGTTGGTGGATGGCTCAAGACATAACGTCCCAGATGTGCTCAATCGGATTCAGGTCTGGGGAACAGGTGGGCCAGCCCATGGCTCTAATGCCATCATCTTGCGGGAACTACTGAACCAACTCCAGCCCCATGAGGTCTAGCATTGTCCTGCATTAGGAGGAACCCAGGGCCAACTGCACCAGCATATGGTGGCCCTTACAAGGGCTCTCAGGATCTCATCTCATTACCTAATGGTAGTCATGCCAACTCTGCCAAGCACATGGAGGGCTGTGTGGCCCTCCAAAAAATGCCACCCCACACCATTACTGACCCACTGCAAACGGTCACGCCAGGTGGCGGATGCACTGTGTGACTTCTTCCAGATGACACATTTTCAACCCACCTCCAGCCCCTCCTTCGGCTAAAGCTTCATCAGAGAGTCGTTCATCCCGGACTCTTACTGTGTTCCCTGTCTCATCTCAACCGTGATTTATTGTGTCAAAAGCTTTTTTGTGATCAATAAACACACCAACTGCAGATTTCTTATTATCTAAGGCGCTGTTGACTTCTATCAATTCAATGACGTCCATTGCTATAGATCTTTGTGATCTAAATCCATACTGACTTTTAGAAAGCAGTTTATGTTTATTAATGAATGTATGTAATCTATCCACAAATAATTTCTCAAAAATTTGGGAAAACCTGGCCTATAATTTTTTATAGAATGGAAAAGCTTTGGCAATTTCCAACATTTCTGGAAATGTCCCCAAAAAAATGACAGATTGCAGATGTAAGTCAGAAGCTGAATAATTTCCTCAATAACCTTCTTAATTACTGTCATAATAAATCCATCACAGTCAGTTGACCTCTTGTTTTTACATTTATTGACAATATCTATAATTTCCCTTTCTCCCAAAGCAGTCAGAAACATTGAATAAGGATTTTTGCAGTTCAATGTTTTATTCACAGCTCTAGTTGTTGTATGATCTGGGCTTTGTTCTGTCACTTTGGGTCCCACACAAATATTTATTGAAATTATGAACAACGTAATTAATTTCTTTAAAATAAAAATTTATTTTTTCCCTGAGTTTTTCTTGATAAAATTATTCAATTCATTTCAAATTCCTTTGATCATTTTCTTATTTATATCTAATAATTTACTGTAATAATCCTGTTTAGCTATTCGTAAAATAGCATTTAATTTATTCTTATATTTCTTATATTTATTCTCTACCTCCAAAGACCTATGTCTTATGAAATCTCTGTATAGTTTGTTCTCTTTTTTTGCAGCCATTTTGCAAACCCTTTTCATCCCTTGTAAGAAGTAACTGTGTATGTTTGCTCAAACCATTCTCTAAATATTTCCATATTTTAAACCAGGAGCCCTGTATACAACTAACAATGTCTTTTTTTGACTTTTCCATAAATATTTCAACTGTTAAACACTGAAATGCATCTTTAAACACTCTGGTCATGTTTTCTACTATTTTATACTTTAAGTTTTTGCCAACATACATAGCTACTCCTCCCCCAGTGTTCCCTTTTCTAATTGAACTCATAACCCTCCAGCTCAAAATCAGCTCCTCTCTTATGAGTGATCCATGTTTCAGAGATGGCAATGAGGTTGAATGGCTGTTTAAACTGGTTAAGACAGTTTTATGTTGTTGAATTTTGCATATAAACTTCTGCTGTTTAAATGTGTGATAGAAATGTATTAGCTACTTGAACTGTGCTGTTGAATTGATCAGTTGTGTAGCAGCAGCAGTTATCAACAATGTAATAGAATCCACGTTGTCTTTCATGAGCTGACTTTTATAATCCGTGTAGCTGATGTGATTGTGATGGCGGCATTCTTCTTGGTCAGGTGCTTGTTAATTAACACGTCTGACCTCTTTAGCAACCTGCTCTGTTTCAGCAGAGCAGTTTACTGTTACTGCACACTGATAATCGCCTTTATCTCGTCGGGTGACAGTACACCAGCCGGACAGGGCCCTGCCACCGCCCCGGCGTAAGAGTTGAGCTTGACTTGAGTCCGGTGACGATCACATCATTCATCCTGGTGTAGTGTTCCAAGTCAGCCACTTGGTCTTCCAAAACTTCAATCCGTTTGTACCCCTCCTGAGAAAAATACCAGATGTTTCTCCAAAAAGGAAATCCAACGCTTTCCTTATTACCTCAAAATCCTCCAAAGCTGGATTCTTCTTAGGGCCAAAGCTGGCAACAGGAATGTAAACACTTCCACGGAACGGCCTAGACACCGCGAACCCCAAGATGCCACTTTAACGCCTTTGGCACAACTTCCGGTGTAACGGGCTAATCCGTTCCACTGGCAACAGTGCTACCTGTTTGTGCCCTGCTGGAGGTTATTTTGCCTCCTACAGCCTCTCCACGTCCCCTGGTGTACTGGCCTATCTTCTGATAGCGCCTCCAGCCTCTGGACACTACGCTGACAGACACAGCAAACCTTGCCACAGCTTACATTGATGTGCCATCTTGGATGAGCTTTATTGAGTGTGATTTGCTGATTGCCAATAATTTCCACCTGTTGTCTATTCCTTTTGCACAACAGCATATGAAATTGATTATCCATCAGTATTGCTTCCTAAGTGGACAATTAGCTTTAACAGAAGTTTAAATTTGATTTGTACTTTATACAACATGCAAAAAATACTTACATATATAAATTCATTGGAAGTTCAAAATGTAAACATTTATAACTAATCATGAATAACTTTGTTTTAATTTTATAAGCTTACCAAATAAAGTGTTTCACTTTAAAGATCATCATTTGAAATTACACGCATCTAGATAAGCTCTGTCATAATGATATTAATTTAGCATTTAGACATTCTTAGGATCTGCATCAACTGCACTATAAAAAAAATACTTTAACTTTGCCAAATATCACAAGGAAGGTCCTTTTCACGAACTTGGTAACATTGTGACAGGCATGCAAAAAGTCTGATTTTGGAGCATCAGTATAGCTGCATTCATTAAAAAGTTCAATGCCACTTTGAGCTAAGATGTGGAAGTAATCTTCAGACAAATGTCTGAGGCTTCTTTAGACTTCAACTCTTTGTTAGCCCATACAGTCACTGACCTCAGTCTCATCTTTCATTAACTGAAAACCATGCATTACTTATTTGTCAAAGAAAAATAACAACATGGTTGTATAAAATCAATAAAACTGATGTTGCTCTGGTTTTTCATATGAAAAATTGTGTGAATCAATCAGTTAATGGTGGCAGCTCCCTTTTATGCTTCTAAACTTAAAAAAAAAAAAAAAACAGAAACAACTATGACATGTATTGTGTTTTGGCTAAATATAACCACCTTTTATAATTAACTGCAAGAAAAATTTAAATTCCTTTTCTCAGCACTAAATTTGTCTTGATTCAGCTGCAGCTTTAGAAAGAAAAAAGCCTGGCTCTGAATCTACAGCCACATCTAAATTAACATTTATTGACTTTTAGCAGTGCCAGCACCATAAGGAATGACAAAACAAGAAATCAATGTCTCCTCCCACAACAACAACAGGGTCTCCAAAGGCAGCAAAATAGTTTAACTTGACTCACCAAAGAAGGCGCGTTGACCACAGAGAGGTTATAGCCATATAGAAAAGATGAACCCAGGGCCCCAAAGAATGCTGCGCTGAACAGGCAGATTGTGAGAGGCTGCTGCTGAAAAAGAAGATAAAAGAGATCAAATGCAGAACTCGTCATTACTCAAACATGCTAAGGGATTATCAAAGAAAATCAAGTCAATGTCAAAGCTAAACTCTACTTATTACTACTTAACTGCAAAGCTGATGGTCCATAATACTTGGATTTTAATAAATTACCAACAAAATCTAAAAACTGTGTTGGTGCATTTGTATTCAGCCACTAAGTCTTTTCGCAAGACCATGTAAAACTTGTTGAGTTCTGATGGGTTTTTTTTTTTCAGCTTTTGTGCAAAATTATCTCCAATCTGAGACCTTTGAGGTACCTTCCAAAACAAAAATGGACGTTAACTATGTCATATACAATCAGCTCTTACTTTTATTCAGTATATGATGTAATTTTGGACCTAGAAACAAACTAAAATACTTTATAGCAGATCGTATATAAACCTCTCTATGGCTTTGCAAAAATTCTACATTCATGTTCAACTTTAAATCTTAGGCTTCTTTAGATTTTTTTTGGCAGATTTGAAAGTTAGACACAATGTAAATATTTAAATAGATTGCCACTCCGATAACCCAAAGCAGTAAGGAGGTCAAAGTTCTAATTTTTCTCATAATAGACGGTGCAAGAGGAAATGCCAAAGCATAATTAGGCCATAAGGCTATGAGCATACTAAACGGATTTATGATGCTTTTATATTATCACATAATAAGAATACAAGAATGTCATTTAGGGAATAGAACTTTGCAGATAGTAAAGAGTATTAATAAACTTTATGAGTCATGCTTTAGGTGTGTTGAATTTGAAAGATATGGCTGATTACTGTGGCAAGAAAAGGCTTGAAGGGTGACCTAATATGTATAGAATTATTCAACAACTCAATTCAACAATTCAACAAGTATTATACCTTGGATGATTTTGTGAAATTGAACCAATTCACAAATCCACAGTCAGGAGTGAAACCGTCTTTATCCAATTCCAGTCAAGCTAAAAGCTCAGTCAGCAAAGTCAAAAGCCATAGACAGAGAGACAGTATTCCTCCTTTCCAATGGATTTTAGATCTGAGCTTTATACATTTTTTTTTCTCCTAATAGATAACTTGCTTGTTGGTCAACTTAAGGGTCTTGTCCATTGGGACTACCATTTCCTAAGTAATCTTTGGAGAATGTTCTCCAATGTTTCCATATGAAGTAAAGCTACAACCTGAATATCCTACAGATGTAACACTGGCTAAGAATCAGTAGAAATATTTAAAATATGTTCTCTCCCATTTTTCAGGCATATAGATAGTACATTTAGAAATGAAAAGCTGTACTGCATTACAAAGGGTTAACTTCCCCTAGTCTCTGTTGGGATCCAGAGGCTTGCCCACCAGAGGGCGCCGAGGATCCCTTCTGGATTGTTTGTTCTTCTGTTGGGATCTGGGGTGCTGTCTACCTTCCTCCCCCAGAGGGCGTACTGGATCTCCTGAACCTGGAGCTGCTTTCACCAGCTGACTCTCATCTGCTCATCAGGGGACCAGTACTTAAGTGGGCTGTGGACAACACCCCGACGCCAGAGTGTTTTTGTTAATCACGGTACAGCAACCCTGAGCCAACCAGCCTGTCTGATTCTCTGACTCCACTGTAACCAGAACCAGAACCTGATCAGTTGTGTCTTCTCTGCTTCTATGAAGAAACCTGACTGAACCCTGGGACTCTGGAGGAGTCTCCACTGCCGAACTCTGCCTGCCGCATCTCAGGAGCTCTGGAGGAGCTCATCGTCTGAAGCCTGCCAATCTGCTCTTGACTGAACCCTGGAAACTCTGGAAGAGTCTCCCTTGCTGAAATCTGCCTGCGGCATCTCAGGAGCTCTGGAGGAGCTCATCATCAGAAACCTGCCTACCTACTCCTGGAAGTCAAACCTGAAAAGCCACTGTTTGAATCTGCCTGCCTGTTCTCAAGGAGAGAACTTAGAGAGACTCAAGGTCTGAATCTCAGCTAGTCAGGAGCCTAGCCTTTGCAGCTACCTAGCCCTCTGCTCATCCCTCTGCCTCTGGTCTCTTCTGGTTTCCTCTCTCAGCCTGAACCACAGACCAGAGTATCCTGTGTGACCAGCCTGGACTCTTTCAGTATCAGAACTATAACCTGGATTGTGTTTTATTTAAATAAACTGTTGAACTTTTCATCCTGTCTCCGTGGTGTTCTGCGTTTGGGTTTAGCTCCAATAACCCAACATGACAGTCTCTGTGCTTAGATATGGACCCAGTTTGCCAAACCAGGTCTATGTTTCCTCTGGAGGTCATAATACTGATTTTAGTTTTTGTTTTTTTCTTTCGTGGTTGCAATTTAATTTCAAATGTTCCCAATCCCATGCCCATTCCAATTAGAACTGTCTGTGGCTCCACAAAGAGCAAGTTGTGTTCACATGTTAAAACTCTGCACTGATTTGAAATAACTCAGAAATATAGAATAGAAACTTAAAATTAGTGAAGCCATAACAAATCAGATTTACAGCAAAAAAAAAAGGTTCAGCCAAGGTTTTGAAGTAAATGAAAGGTAGAGGTGCAATTTACTTAAATATAGCATCTAAACAGTGAAAAATCTTTTTTTTAATGTTATAATACTATTCCTTGTTCAAAATTATGCTCAATGTTGAATTTCAATTGAGTCATGCATCTCTGACTAATCCACGAGTTTTGCTGTCTGAGAAGTTGCCCTCTAATTTCTGTGAAAAAGGAGCAGATGGAGATTATCTATGTTTAAGTACCCCACAAGTAAGCAGCTTCTTTAACTGCACTGTACCTATACTGTAGAAAACCATTTTCTCCAAATCAAGGAGGGGTGATGTCAGGCAGTGTGCTATGATTCTGGCTCATGGTTCAGGTGCAGTTAATTACATTGAGCTGATGTCTCCCACCTAATCATCCCCATTTCTCCCTGCTGTTACTTCACCAATTAATACCTGCCTCAGTCAATCACTGCCATATAGCCTCCTTGCCAGCAGGAGGTTTGTTCGAATGCTTCTTTGCACAGCCTGCCTTGCTGTGCACCTGCGCTCATCATGCCTGCACTAGATTCTCATCTGTTTCTTACTCATAACTTGCTACCTGGGTGTTGAGCCACTATCTTCCTGCTTGAGCCTAATACCAGCCTACAACTCAAGTTCAGCCCTTCAATCTCACAAAAAATCAAATCATTTTAACTCAATACTGTTTCTGTCTGAATATCAGTTTATCTGAAACATATTGTAACAGGTGACTTAGAAAGGCTTAAAAAAACAGCTCTTAAAAAATTAAGGTAACTCTCAAATAACACATCCTAGATCTACTAGGATCTAGGATCTTAACAAATACTTTGTTCCGTACAAAGCTAAATGTTCAGACAACAAAATCCAAAATTACACAAAAGCCATCATGGAAATCCAATTTATTAACCAATGAAGTCCTGGATTTGCAGTCGCACACAAAATAAAGTGGAAGAACACACTACAGGCTGATCCAATGTCCTTTAAACATGTCAATTGTGGGTGTCCTCCACATGCTTGTGATGAAGTGGTGGTGGTCTCTTGAGGAATCTCCTACTAGATCTGGACAAAAGCATCCGCCAACCTCTGGAGAGTCTGTGGTGCAATGTGATTTTGTTTATGGATCAAGACATGATGTCCCAGATGTGCTCAATCAGATTCAGGTCTGGGGAACAGGTGGGCCAGTCCATGGCTCTAATGTCTTCATCTTGCAGGAACCGAAGGCACACTCCAGCCACATGAGGTCTAGAACTGCCCTGACTTAGGAGGAAAGGCCAAGGCCAACCACATATGGAGGGCTATGTTGCCCTCCAAACAAATGCCACTCGACACCATTACTGACCCCCTGTCACACTGGTCATGCAGAAGGATGTGGCAGGCAGCAGATTACTCTCCATGGTGTCTCCAGACTCGTCTGAACGTGCTCCGTGTTAACCTGCTTTCATCTGTGAAGAGCACAGGGCACCAATAGTGAATTTGCCAATCCTGGTGTTCTCTGGCAAATGCTAAACGTCCTGCATGGTGTTCAGCTGTGAGTACAACCCCCATCTGTGGATGTCAGGCCCTCCTACCATCCTCATGGAGTCGGTTTCTAGCCGTTTGTGCAAACACTTGCACATTGGTGGTCTGCGCAACTTCTCATCCACTGCTCAGTGCCTGTGCCATCTTTGTTATAAGTCGCCGCTGTTGGTTAGCGACAGCGTGCCACTGTGACAGCAAATCCCATAGTGCTTTGCGATTAGACCTCTGCATGCAAAGCATTCTGGGACATATCTGCCTCTTCTTTGGCCTTTCTTTTCTTTTCATACACTTTGTAGACACTTTTTCTCTTACGACCCAAAGCCATTTTCAAAGAAACGCAGTGATAAAGGTAGGCTTCAATGAATGTCTGAAACACCACACATATGTTGCTGAAAGTGCGCATGCACAGAAAAAGATAGCTAACGGGGCAAGCACATAGGACGGCCTTATGTACACATATCACCAGAATGATTGACAATTAGGAGGACCGCTTATTTAGATGATCCACCCTGAAATAAAAATTCATCCTCTATACCTTTAATATGACGTACTGCATGAGCTACACTACCTGAGCCACTTGTGTGGGTTGTAGAGTGCTTCTCGTGCCACCAAGTGTGAAAGCACCACCAACATTAAAAAGAAACCAAAATATCAGCTAGATATATATGGCATACGTGTCTTGCTAAATGCAAATGATTTCCACCTGTTGTCTATGCCTTTTGCACAACAGCATTTGAAATCATTGTTGCTTCCTAAGTGGACAATTTGATTTCACAGAAGTTTCATTTTGATTGTTATATTGTGTTGTTTACCTGTTCCCTTTATATTTATGTTCAAAAGACATGTTTTATCAGTTGGTAAGAAATCTAAATCTTATTTAAATGAGCAGTTGACAACATGCAATTTTCCTTTAGCTTAATTTTCTTAAACAGAAATCTCTATTTGGACAGACAGAATCAGTAGCAGGGCAGAAGAAATTATATGTTATTTACAGCAAGACTGACCAAGCAACTCTGTGCACTGAGATACTTTAGAGGAACAGCTGTTGTGGCTATGATTACTGCCAGTACAGCTCACTCTTTACCCACTTATTACCATTGTAAGTGCAACTCACCATTTTAGGCTCCTCCAAGCTTCCTTTGTGGAGCCCCTGATTCTGGTACCATGTTCATTTCAGGGTTCACAAATTGTTTGTATTTCTTGTGAGTATTCACATGTATTTTTGATCTATTTGCAAACAGTATCTTTAAAGGATTTTTTTTCACGATTTTCCATATAATTTTAGATTAAATTTTGTACACATCTGCACATGAAAAGGAGAATGTAACATGAGTCTCCTTTTTTAATCTATTTATATTCCATCAGTTCACCTGTTCTTTGTGGATAAGTGTTTTTATAAAATAGTTTTCAATTAAAATTTCCACCCTAAAATGCATATTTGGAAGCTGCCCCATCAGCATAATTATATGGGTATTGAGTTCACACTGATTCTAAACAATAGGTTTCAATCCTCCACAACGGACCAAGGGATGGTGAGACTGAGCAAGTATTGTAACAAGTGATGTGGATGTTAGTGCACAGTGCAGACTAAAAACAACACAGAGACATTCTCTACTGCACTATTAGGCACTGAAAATATACTGAACAGCTGAGCACATATAAATTTGGAGACAAAAACTGTGATAGGAACAAACGTTTTAATTATGCTCCATCAGACACAGAAACAACAAACAGAAAATTTCCCTAAATAATCCACGGAAAGAATCTTTTTTGTTTTTTATTTAATGCTAATTTAAACAGAATAAGTTGCGACTAATGCATCAAAAGGTGTGCATTTTTTACTATATTTTATTCACTTTTCTTCTTCAATATCTCTTGTTTTTATACATTCCTATATGTAACATCCTTGTATACACTAATCAGTCATAACAATATGAGCAGTATGAGTACCCTGACAGATCTGCAGATATACACCCACATACAATACACAGCAAACTGCAATGCACTGTTTTTTGTTTTTGACAGATTCTATTAGAATCAGCATCTGCTTCAGCAGCAGGTTTAACTACAATAGTTCTGTTGAATCCAAGATTTTCTTTGCTCCCCACATACATAAATTGACACTGTTTGCTCTTGATCCTTTCACCTCTTCTCAGCCATTCCTTCTTTGAACACCCCACAATTGCTGCAATTTTGCAGATGCCCTAACCCAGGTTTCTGTCTTTTACAGTTCAGCCTTTCATAGGCTCTCTCAAATCCCTCAACTTCCCATTATTCCTACATCTTACGCGTCAACTTTGACATCAACCTACTCCTTAGCATATCTCACCTTCCAAAAGGGACAATCTAAAAAAGATAATGGTTGTTATGCACTTCACCAGTCAATACTAATGTTATGCATTAATAGTCATCCGGTCTGTTCAGTATTTAACAGATGGTTTGTTTTCTTCCCTGCTTTGCTCACTGCCTGTGTCCCTCTGGTTTTTTTTTTTTTTTTATTTCATTGTCCTCCACATTAACTGGTTCGATATCTCGTTGTGTTTATCCAGTTAAGGAGCTCTGTCTCCTGGACCCAATATGTAAGATCATTTATAGGATTTAACTCATTTATCTTGCTTCCACACTACCAGCTCATACGTCCAATCTCATTACACCATGAAAAGTGTAAACACTGTGCATATCTTTCTTTACCACAACCATGAAACTTCTAAGGGGGCTCTCTTTTTACATCCTTCCTTCCAGTTCCATATTGTTGATCTTTTCTCATATACATCTGCTTTCCCTCCTCCAAACAATTACAAACCACCTTAAAATTACACCTCTATGTCTCTGAACAGCTCATCTTTAGCCTTCGTCTGTGCAATTATTTCTAATGCTGTAGCAGTCTTTTCTTTTTGTATGTGCCACCATCTCAAAACCATCAATTGCAGATAGAGTCAGTCACTGTCTTCTTAAAGCTAACTGTCATTTTTCGACTAACCCACAGGTCACGTCATCCGTAAACGCATTATAATATTTTTATAGAAATTGTATTATTGCCTTTGTATAAGACTATAAAAATTGATGATAGAAAATAACTTGTAACAGGTGAAGTTTTAAATCAAACATTAGAGACTGAATCTATTAATAGCAGCAATTTCTGCATAATTTTCCAGCAGAAGTATATGAAGAGATTTAAAGATCTGCATGTTTTGTTCAATACTCCTTTGAACTAAACATAGTTAACTCTATTGTAAATAAAGCCCCCTCCATAGGCAGGAACCCATATAAAAAGTCTTCAAATGAGTCCCTTCTTAAATGCAGGAACAATATACAAGAAATTTGGTCGTTAGTTTGAGTAGATTTCTTTTGGAACATGGATGAGGAGGAGTTACATGCTCAACTCCCAGTCGACCTACTTAGATTTGATCAAACTTACTCACTGCAGCCGTTGTAAAACCGAAAACTCAGAATGTCCAACCTCAGGCAAGATCAATTCAGAGTTGAGGATTTCTGCCTGAGTTATTTAAACCTGTTGTGTAAAACAGGCCTGTGGTTCCAGTATTTTTGGCCCAAACCTTTTTTCTGACTAGAGCAGCTCAGATCTAATTTCTTAGCATCACAATTACTCCAAGCCTACATTTAAATCAATATAGGCACAAATAGCTGGAAAAACAGGGTTTTGGACAAGATTCTCTCACCGGTTTGGAAAACCTTTACAAGGGCAGAAGGCCAAATATTGAAAATAATTTACAGACCTTTGTCAAAGAACACTAAACTCTCAATTCAATAAAAAGATTTTGAGAATAGCTTTAGCTTTTTTTTTTTTTACTTATTAAGCAATGATCTTTGAACTTTTTTGTCAAATATTTATCTCCCAATAAATATGCTATTATTTTTAAGTTGAATTACACAACACAAATATATCAAATTCTATAAAATAATTCTGACTATTTAGGTCTCCTGTAGTATAAAGGCTCCACTAAGAGATATGACTGATGGGGTTGAGGCAGTTGTTAAAAAATAACACAGGAACTGCTGCTAGATCAAAGCTTTAATGTTTATGTCTGTCGTCAGTAGTGGGGGGCAAAGATGAAGAAAGATCTTATAAATAGTTATAAATAAACATACACAGATGCTCATAAAGAGAATAATAAACATTTCTCTTAGAAGTCTGATTCGATGGATCTGAAACATGGGATAACGTGTATTTAGCAGCTATGTCATCTTATTTGTGATCATCGAGTTAAAATATTGTGCAAAATCTTTTTGTTTTACTTCCAGGCAAATACTCTTTTCTCAGAGAGCAGAGACAGAATTTTGATAAACAGGGCAAAAGTGTTGGTCCGAAATGCTAAAGACAGATTTTTAGACTTTAGACAGATTTTATTTGTCATTTTGTTTACACAAGTGTAAAACAAAATAAATTTCGTTTGGAAACAGCTCACTGAAGGTACATCAGAATCAGAAATACTTTAATAATCCCAGAGGGAAATTACTTTTGTTAAACGCTCCAGTTCCAGTTTTATATAATATATACACACATCCAACTACACAATATAATAAAGCTAAAAAAATAAAAATAAAAAGAGATAAAATATATACACATATAGCTCTTCTGTATATATATATATATATTTGTACGTACACAACTGTACGTACATATGAATTATTGTACCTTTGTCACATACAGCCTATATCAGCTCATTGTGAAGGTTGGTATGTATTATAAAAAATTTATTATAAAAAAACAGCAACTGTGACCTACTTCATGCTATAAGTGTGGTGCTAGGAGTCCATTATTACATCAGCAGCTGACTTTAAATCCTCAGAAAAATAGGATGGAATTTTAGGTATTATTTTATTTGTTGGAATAATAAATTCTGTCTATCAGTCTCACCTTTTCAGAGGTTTTCTCTGTGTTCTTTATGTCAGTCTGGTTGTCCTGTTTGGCCATGATGGAGTTACAGCAACCTAAAAAGAGAAGGTCACAATACATCATATGACATGTGTAGCTATAAGAGAAAAACCCGCAAGGACACAAGGGTCATTTTACAACAATATGTGGGGAAGTTGTTTTCTTTGTTTTTTTTTTTTTTTTTTTCCATACATGTTAGAGATAGGAACATCTGCCAACTGCTACAAAGAAAATTACTGAGAAGGCAGAGGCTGATAGGAAAAAGCACATTATGGTAGAGAGTTTGTTCACCTTGTGGTGTTCTTCAAGTAAACTTTTCAACATGCAAAATGTTCTGAGAAATAATCATTATCAGTGTACAGCATTAAGAACTGCCTGTTTCTAACCTTCAAAAAGAAAAGAGGAAAACAATTTTCTCCTGCTGTCCAGCCCCACAGTAGCCCACATCTACATTCACACAGGCTGACAAGACTGAGGTGAGAGGCTATGACTATGCTCTTTCTCATTTCCTCTCTCTTTCTCTCCCTCCCTCCCTCTCTCTTCCAAGCCCTGGTTAGGATGTTCAAACGCACGTGCCTTTAAGAAACGTACAAAACGCGCAAAAACGTGCAGCGCGATTTCCATAAAGCACAGAGTATCCGTATCAACTTCAATCCATGGAGGGGTGTAGACTTATTTGACAAGTGTGAAACCCTTAAGCTGCAAAAAACTGCGCTCATTACTGTCAAAAATGTGCACATCCCAAAAGTAGCGCAATTTAAAACAGCAGGACGCACATGGCATGGTGCTATGTGGGGAAGATGGAGGCAGAAGAGAAGGAGAAGTACATTTTATTTTTTTTAAATCATAATGCATAACACGTGTTTTTTCTCTCCCTGGAACCGCTTTTCATACACATACAATGGAATGTAACCACGTTTTAATTGCCGAGTACTTTTTTCTGAATTTCAGTGGAATGATTATTAAAATGAAAAAGTCATAAGTCTCACGTGGGTTATTTCCCTTTGCTGTGGCGCTTGAGTCACCCATGGTTTGATATGATGCACCATTACGCATGATCCAGCAGCTGATTTTTCCTTTTATTTCTATATTCCGGTTCTTTTATCCTGTTGCAGTTTGAAACCCCGTCTCATCCCTATTTGCAGCTGTAAACATTTGTACTCTTCGTACTGATCAGAGATCATTTCTCCCCTTTGCACTCAGGAGCGCCGGGCGCCTCTGCGCGAAATTACGCATAGAGGGATGACTTTAAAGTTGATCCATCTGAGATTGTGCTCCGAAGCTGACAGACCCAGTGAGACACAGATTGCCTTTCTGCTCTGGTTTAAACCCCTGGGTGAAAGGCAAGGCAAGGCCAATATGAAATACAAGATTGAGAATAAGGCACAACTCTTTTATTTCTGAATTGGTTTCTAAATGGCTGAAGGAAAAAAAACAACAACACTATTTTGGATGCGATTCTCCTTTCTCACTCAGCAGGTGGTTGTAGATGTTTAACTGCACTCTAGATAGTGAGGATGATGCATATATGCAAACTATGAACTGATGGACTTTAGGCTAAATACTCCCAATGTTTTCCTTTAAACGATCCTGATGTTAATAAAAATTCACACCGATTTTTACATGTGGCAAAACCAGTATGTATGCACCTGACAGTTTATTTTGAGTTTATATTTTAACCAAAAACTGAATTCAGCAAAAAAATATTTACAGTAATATACCAAGAAATAAAAAAGATTAATACAGAAATTGTTCTTAAATTCTTAGCCAATTTAGATATTAGGAGGAGACATAACTTTATTTAAACAGCACCAATGAATAAATGTGTTCATAGTTTAATTAGCCTCAGGAAAATCTGCTCCATCTTATGCAGAAAAAGCAGATCTAGATACATTATGATCAGTATAGGTGGACCCTGAACTGATTTTGGTGCCTATTAGTTTTCAGCTACCCCTCTGGTCCCTGTCTGGTCACCCCTGTGAACATCTATATGCAACAGCCACTGCTTAGCTTGGATATATATAAAAGACTTTTTCACTTCGGGGTTCACTGCAGGCAATGATGGCTTTTTAGAAAGAAGGCAGTAAGCAAGACTCTGTGCGCATCTTCGGGGACCATCAGTATTGAATTTCTTTACTACCCAGGATTAAAGAGCAGTGGTGGTTCCAGAAAAACTTATCGGGGGGGCAAGAAGGAACCATTGTGCACTGAGGGGTAGCTGAAAACGTATAGGTGCTAAAAACATTTTACGGTCAATCTATGATGATCACAATAAATTAAAAAAGAAAATTAACACAAACAATTTCTATATTTTTTATATAAATAACGAAGCTGACCAGATTTTCATGAGGCCATTGCTAATGAATTCACGCACATTTTTATACATCCCTGCTGTCTAAATTAATCTATGGTTCTATATATCATATGCATTAAATGGATTGAGCAGTTGTTCTTTATCCTTAATTATATAAAATATTCCAAGATGACAGTAGAGACGTCTACCATATAAAACCTGCAAACTGATTTCTAAAAGAGCAAGAGTTCTCAATTAGTCATCTTTATTTGCATTTATTTTATTGTTTTGAATATCTGCAGCATTTTTGTTGTCACTTTCGGTCAATATACTAACTTTAAAATGTCAAAGTAAAAATTTCCAGATGATATGATCACTGCTGCCACCTTCTGGTTCAGAGAAGAACTGCTTGTTCCAGGAATGGTGAACTATATCCTCATGGGAGCAATAAATCCCCTGTGGGGATGGGCATGGTTCCCCCTTCCACCCCCAAAAGCTCTGCCCCTGCTAAAGAGACACTTAAAGCTCTGTAGAACATTCTCAGTAATATTTACACAAAGAAAAAAATAATATCTTTTCTAACAGGTAAGGCGACTGAGGGGGAAAATAAAACTAATTTAGAGTGTTTTTAATTTGTCAGCCAGTCTGCTCCTGGAAGGTCTTTATATCACTTTTTTTTTTTTTTATCACCTACCGAAGGTCACTCAGAGGGTTATTCTCATATTCATCTTTCAAAATATTTGATTAAAAGACTAGGGGTCAGTACCCATAATAAACCAGAAGAGTGTGGAGCCAAACTTAAGAAGTTGGGGCTCCATAAGCATCCAGTAAACAAACTTCAGCAAGAGTTTTAGTTCTAGATTGAATTTTTGAAGCCGTAGGAGGTGGACCTGCTGCCGAGTTCCAGATTATCCTGCTGCTCTATAAAATAAGAGTCTCAGTTTAAGGTGAGTAACTGATGTTGGGTCATGCTCTTGCTGGGACTTTCTGGGAGAGATTAAAATCTGTTTTTACAGCATGTTGTTTAGGGCCTGGAGCTGCAAATTGTAAATGACTGCCACCCTTGCTGCCTCCATGTTTCACTGTAGAATTATATTCAACAATTAGGACATTATGCAAAAAAAAAATGGTCAGCATGATTAAAGGGACAAATTAAGCTCTGTTTTATTAATTCATTTTAACAGTATTAAAAAACAGTTTCAAATATAGAATATTTTTCATGAAAATATAATTTATATCATAAGGAAAATAATGTCGACAAAAGGCCGGCTCACCATAAAATGGTAAATACCATTTGTTTTTCTTTTATAACTGAGCATTGATTTAAATTTTGGTTTTTTGGGGGGTTTTTTTTACCTGAGAACTTCTGAATAAGAAAGAATATTTTTCTTTTGAGATTTTGATATGAAATACTAGATCAAAATAAAGTCTCAAGAAATCTGCTGTGATGTTAGTCTGGGGGTTTGTCTCACAGGGAAGCTATCTTTAATTTATTCATCTAACTAATGCCCAACTTCAAATTAAAATGACTGGATTAAAAGCGGACATTTGGAGGAGAGAAGAAGGCAGAGAGAGAGTCAAGTTCATCAGAGATTTGCTCCTGTGCACTGCATCAGATATCAGACTGACTGCGCCCCCTAGCGGTTTTAAATGCATCAAGACTCCCTAGCTGAAGCTGGACTATGGAAGCTGACCTGTCTGCAATTAAAGAGGTAAAGATACAACTGGATCTCAATGATATAAGAATCATGTTTATTTCTCTATGTGCCGTGATGATATAACAGCTATATGAGGTTTTATGAATATAAATCCAGATATTTTTAAAGTTGGCTAGAAGGTTTGTGTGTGCTTTGTTTAAAGCCATCTAAAGGATAAGACAATCTCTGTTGCTTTTGCATCATTTTACTGCAATTTTTTAAATTTTTATTTTGCTTCCACTTATATTTTTGTAGCCATTTTTGGAAGCAGCCATGGCCTTTTTGTGGCTTATTCTGTTGAATGTCCCAATGAGTCTGCTGGTCAAATTAACAAACAAGTGCAAAACAATATTACATTAACCCAAGAAACTTTCACTGCTGGCCGCTCCCCCGCGCAGTTTATGTAGGAATTATGGATGTGTTCGATTTCATAGGCTGCATCCTCCAAGGACACGGTCTATCAGGACCTGATCCTTCGAGGTCCATGAAAATAACGAGGAGTTTAGGCTGTTGATTCAAACAGGTCCAGCCTTTCCTGGATTTTCACCGCTCTGTCGGCTAGCAACTGTGAGAGTTGTCACAAAAAGCGGGAAAAGAACAGATACAAAACCTCTCACTGCCGTTTATTTTTATTATAAAGTGAACAAAGACTACACTCATGAGAATACAGAGTGGATGAAGGGTGACAACCATTGGGAGCATGAGCAAATAAAAGCAAATAGATAGATAGATAGATAGATAGATAGATAGATAGATAGATAGATAGATAGATAGATAGATAGATAGATAGATAGATAGATAGAT